CGGTGCCTCACTGCTTTTATTATAAAAAATTCTTTCCTTATATTCTAGTTAGAGAGTTTTCCTCCCAGTCTAAATCTCTCCTCTTTTAGTTTGAAACCATTTCCCCTATAGAGTCCATCCTCTTCCTTCTTACAGCTCCTCTTATATACCAAAAGACCACTCTCAGGTCTCCCCACAGCCTTCTCTTCTCCAGGCTGAACAGCCCCAGCTCTCTCAGCCTGTTCTCAAAGGGATGTGTGCCATCCCTTGGGTCATTTTTGTGGCCCTCCTCTGGATGCACTCCAACAGCTCCACGTCTCTCCTGTACTGAGGACTCCACATCTGCATGCAGTACTCCAGGTGAGGCCTCACTGCACAGAACAGAGGGGCAGGATCACTCCCTCACCCTGCTGGCCACACTGCTTTGGATGCAGCCCAGGATACAACAATCTTTCTGGGCTATGAGGGCACACTGCTGCTCACATCCAACTGCCATCCACCACTACCCTGATCCTGGGGAAGGGCTGTGCTCTTTCCTTTTGCTCCCAGCTTGTATTGATAGTGAGGGTGGCTGTGAGTCAGGAGCAAGATCTTGCACTTGGATTTGCTGAACCTCATGAGGGTCTCTTGAGCACACTGCTCAGCTTGCCTAGGAGACCTTTCTCCTGGTTCTGGATGTGCTTCCCTAACAGAAGCCAAACCACTGTGTTTGAAAGAGAGGGATGGGAGATCTGGAAAAGAACCAAGCCCTGTGTGAAACAGGACCAACCCTCAGTGCCCGAAGTGTCCCATTGCCCCAGGGCTCAGCCAGGTGGGAGTGGTCGGAGGAGGGCGGTGTGGCCCAGGATAAGGCCCTGCTCCTGGGACCTCTGCGGGCTGGAACGTGGGGCGAGGCCCCACTCTTCTCCTGGGGAAGGATCTGGGAGTGAATGGGCGGTGTGGGGAGCAGTCAGACTCAGCTCCTCCTCGGAGCCAGAGGCCTGGGCTTTGTTTGCTTTGGAGGGAATGGGTTTGTCCCTGGCAGAAGCGCTGTCTCCTCCCTTCTTTACAGCCTCAGTTCTCTGAGCAGGCAGTGGGGAGGGGGCATGAGAACCTCTGGCCCTGGGGAAGGCTTCTGGGGCAGTGGTTGGGGGAACCCCCCTGAGCTGTGCATTGCATCCAGCCCCATCCACCTCCTCAGAGCAGCCTTTGCCACCTGCATGAAACATCACCCCCAGAGCCCCAGGACCCTGCAAGGAGGTGTGCAGTCAACGCCTCTGAAACCTTCGACCTTGCAAATAACGAAGTGTCCCCACAGTGCCTGTGCTGAGTGCACAGCCCTGCAGCACCGGGCTACTGTGGGGAGAGGAGATGGGGCCCTGGGGGGGAGAGATGGGCAGCACATGGTGGGAGACACAGCCATGGGCTGCGTCACAAAGGGCACATCTCAGAGCAAGGTGCAGGGTATTAGATGGTTATGAGATGAAGGGGCCATTGGCCCGAGGACCAGGGATAGCCACAGGGCTCGCTGCTTGGCAGACATGTGCTGATCATACTGCAGCCACAATTGGGCACCTTCCGCGGGGTTCAGCACGAATGTGGGCAGTGGTGGCCATTCTATGAGCAGTGTTTTCTTGTCTGGGGATGACAGCAGCCATCCAAGCTCAGGCCCGACGACACCTGTCCGAGGGGCAGAGCCGCGCCGAGCTGAATCGTGCTGTTCCTTGCCCCCTCCCCCGGCCCCACTCCTTTCCAGCAGCGGCTCCGCTCGGAGCAGCGTTCTGCATCCAGCCCGCTCCTGCAGGCATGTGCTTAAACAAGCCGGGTATCAACCCCACGATAAAAGTATTGGGTTATTCTGCAACGTAATCTACATCAAAGCCTCGGGGGCTGCCGGCTTGAAAAGATCCAAGATGTTTTCTAAGTCCTTATCATGTCTGTGCTTAGGGGGAGCCATAAATTCCACAGCTCGGACACACCAACCCTCGGTTCCTCCTTCCCTCTCCTCGGCCACCAAAGGGCTTTCAAGAAGTTTTTTTTTCTTCACCCTCGCAAACAAAGCTCCCGGTGCCGCGCCGTTACGGTGGGGGAGATGGGAAGACCCACCCACCTCACACTGATCTTCTCTTGAGAGACAGAAAAATCGCTCCGTGAAAACCTGAATGCAGTTCGGAGCGCAACAAGAAGGCGCCCGCTGCTCCTCGACGGCTGTGGCCGCGCTCGGCCTTTCCCGGGGCTCCTACGGGCGGCTCGGACGGGATCCCCGTGCCGCGCTGTACCGGGATCCGGCTCCAGGGCCGCGCCCCGACGGAGACCCCGTTCCAGAGGGCAGCGGGAGAGCCGTCGGGGGGCACAGCCGGCGGCGTTTCTGTCTGACAGTGCTCAGACGGATCCCCTCGGAACTGGTGATGTTCTGCTCCAAGCAGCGCCAGGGCTGGTAGAAGGCAGCGGGCGCTGCGAAGCCCCGCAGCCCGAAGGGACCGCAGCCACGGGCGCGGCTGAGGCAGAGCCGCTGGTGGAACCGAGCGGGGAAAGAGGGAATCTGCATGTAAAGAAAGAGGGGAGAAGCAAACGGTCCTACAGGGAAACACGGGGTCAATATAAAACAAAACAAAACAAAACAAAACAAAACAAAACAAAACAAAACAAAATAAAATAAAATAAAATAAAATAAAATAAAAAATAGCAATGTAAAATATAAAATAAAATGAAAACAAAACCCCAAATCCCCAGGCGATATTTCGCTCCCAACGGCCGTGGTTTGGCACTTGTCACTTTAGAGTCGCTTTTTCTTGCTCAGGATCTAGGGAAATAAAAAGAAACAAAATAATGAACGTACTTTTACAATGAAAGAAACGAAGAGGCAGAAACCACCACCACCACCCCCCCCCAAGCCAAAGCTGCTGCCTTGGCCATGCCCCACGCACCTTCCCCAGAACGTCGAGGAGAGAGAAAAGGAGAAAACCGCGTGGAAAACAAAGGGGCCTCAATCGGTTTGTAGGGAGGACACGAAACTCCTGCCTGGCTCAGAACGCAGTGGGACAGGGGAAAGCACCCTGACCCGGGTCGGGCGGAGATCCTGCAGAGAGCCCGGGATCGGGAGGGGCTCCTTCAATCTGCCCCGACCAGAGAGCGCCGCGTCCCTCCGGGCTGAGGGTCTGTGCGGAGTTCGGTGCGTTTTGATGCTCTGTGTTCCGAGTTGTGTCGTTTTAATGGCCCCTTCCTCGTTTATGGCACCATCAAGCTCTGTCGTCTCAGCCCGGCCGTGACACCGCGGGGGGACGCGGCACTGCTTCTCCGGGATAGCACCGAACGAGGGGATAGAGAAATCCCATAGGGAGGAGGCGGCCGCCCGGCACCCCTCGTCCCGGTGTGCTGTTGTTATTGTAGGGTCGCAACCGCGGCCATGAGATCGCGTGGGCAAAGGGATTTGCTGCGCTGGCACTGAACGACGCACGCAGCGAACGTGTCCCAGCGGAGATGGGCCGAGAACGGGGTTCCGTCCTTCCCCGAGAGCCCCGATCCCCGCGGGCAGGGACAGGGGACGTCGGGGGACACTTTGGGAGGTGTCGCGGAGTTATTCCCGTAGCTCTGGGGCACCCTCGCTCTCGGCACCGAGTTGCCGTCGGAAGAGGGATAAGAAGATAGTTTTGAGTCACTTGAGGATTTGGAGATGTGAACCGCCCCGTCGAAACGGGAGGAAAGCTGCAAACGGTCACACAGCCCGGGGAAAGAGAGATACACGGAGGCCACGGACGTGCGTGTGGGGTCCGTGAGCCACCCCCGGTAGGACCGCTCCCCCCCTGACGGCACCGTAGCGCCCTGGAAAGCCGTCGAAGTGAGTCGGGGCTGCGCTGGGAAAACGGGGAAAAGCTGCCGTCCACATCCACCTCTCTCGGCGGGTGAAAGGTTTCCTCGCTGTGCCATGGGAAAAGATGCAAATATGCAAATGTTTTCTGGCATTGTCCCCGCTCAGGGTGAAAAGTTAAAGCATAAAAGCAGCGAAGGGAGTCGAGGTGGGGGGGACGACTCTTCAAAGGGGGCTCCCGGCCGGGGGGAGCCGGCTGCCGCCCGCATGCTCCCCGGGGCGGGTTCCCGAGGCGTCGGGGTGGGAAAATCCGGGGGTGCCGGGAGGGCAGGGATCGGCCCCCAAGTGGACCGAGGCTGTTGGGAGAGGAGCGTGGACAACGTGGGTCTCGCGTGGGTCCCGCGGCCCGCACTCATCCCGCGGCCCGGGGCAAGGCTGCGGGTGCTGCCGGTGCTGCCGGTGAAGGCTCACGTCGAGGCCGTCGAGGCCCGGACGGGCGGACAGCGCCGGGCCTCGGAGCGAAAGGAGCCGTGCCCTCGGCGGGGGTTTCTCCTCTTACCTCTCGTTCATCGAGTGGGAACGGGTGGGAAGCGCGCTAGAAAGACAAGCGGCCGTGAGCTTTGCGGCTTAAAACAACGACGACGACAAAACGGCTTTTGGGATTTTTAATCAAAACCTCCCTCCTCGCCCCCAACGCCAACAAGGCGAAGGGGCGACGAAGGCGCTGCCCGATCGGCGGTTCCCATCTTCCCACCCTCGCCCTTAGATCTCCTTCTCTGTCTTTTGCAAGTCTCTCGATTTCATCCTTTGAACCTGTGATTGGAGGTTAAAGTGCACCAGGTTGCAATGGAAGGAGGAAGCTCTTAAACAATAAAGGCTTGAATATTTAGCTGTGATCAGGTCGCTGCCCTCTCCTTATCTTTTTAAATGCAAATCGTCTTTTAGGGGTAGTAGCTATATACCCAGCGCCTCTCCACGTCACCTGCCTTTGGTGTGTCTGGGCCATTACTAATAGAGCCTTGTAAACAATCGTTAATCATGTAAGCGCTGCCGGCCATCGCCTTCGGACCGGGAGCGCTCGGCGGCGGCGAACTGCGCGGGGCCGCGGCCCCTCCGCCTGCCCCCTCCCCGCCGCGGGAGCCCGGCCCCGGGCGGCGGCGCTCCGACGGCCCCGGCAGCGGCTCTCCGACGGCCCCAGCAGCATGCCGAGAGCGGCCGCCGGGGCCCCGCCAGCATGTACGTGAGCTACCTCCTGGACAAGGACGGGCCCATGTACCCCGGCCCCGTTCGCCACTCGGGGGGGCTCAACCTGGCGGCGCAGAACTTCGTGGGCGCCGCGCAATACGCGGACTACGGCGGCTACCATGTGAACCTCGACGGCGCGCAGTCCCCCGGGCCGGCCTGGCCCGCGCCCTACGCCGCTCCGCTCCGCGATGACTGGGGGGCCTACGGGCAGGGAGCCCCGCCGCCCGCCGCCGCCGCCGCCGCCGTGCACGGCCTCAACGGCGGCTCCCCGGCCGCAGCGATGGCCTACAGCCCCGCCGACTTCCACCACCACCACCACCACCACCACCCGCACGCCCACCACCACGCCGGCCCCGCGCCGCACTGCTCTGCCGGGGGGATGCAGCCACTCGGCGCCGCCCCCGCCGCCGCCGCCGCCGCCTCCGCCGCCCCCGAGCCGCTGTCCCCCGGCGGGCAGCGCCGCGGCCTCTGCGAGTGGGTGAGGAAACCGGCGCAGGCCCCGCTCGGTAGCCAAGGTAAGCGGGGGGTATGGGACGGGGGCGGCGGGGGGCGGCGGCCCGAAACCGACCCGCTCGGGGGCTGCTCCTCGGCGGCGTCTCCGCCGGTACTACGGGGAAAGGGCCGAGAGCGGGCCCGTGCCGGGGCGCGGGGCAGGGCAGGGCCGTCCCCCCAGCGAGGAGAGGAGCTGCGGGGCCCGAGGACGGCCGAGCTGCGGGGCGCGCCGTCGGGTGGACAACCGATTCGCCGTCGGGCTCATCCGGCATGCGGAGGACGGCGTCGCTCTCCGTTCCGCTCGGCCACTTAGAGCCACTTAAAAGATTTTTATAACCAATTACAGTCATATAAATCATCGGCCGCTGTCGCTCCGCATTCGCTTCTGGCTCGCTGGGCTCCAGCCCGGGGAACAGGGAGCAGCGGAGGCTGCGGCCCCCACGGGCCGCCCGGTGGGACCCGGAGGTGCGAGGGCGTTCCCCCCAACCTCTCTGCCCCGGGGCCGGCGCCGCGCTCCGTTGTGATGTTAATCCCCCCACGGCCCGGCCGGGCCCTCTCCCTTTTATATGAGCAGAGCTGCTCGCTGCCCGCTTTGATATACACCTTCCTCTCCCATTGTCTCTTTTTTCTTTTTCCTTCGCGTTTTTCTATTTCCAGATATATTTACGGCTGAAAAAAAAATAAAAATGAAAATAAAAAAGGAGCGGTGACTTCCGCAGCCACCACCGACCGTGTGCCCTCCCCACCCCTCCCCCGGCCCTGTGCCCGGCGCTGCCCCCGGGCTGCGGCGTTCCCCTCGCGGGGTCGGTGCTGCTCGTCCGGGCCCTCCGCATTCAAATTGCGCCTTTGGAGCAGCGCGTATGGTAATGCGCGGGGCCGGGGGATGAAAGCGGCCGCCGCCATTTGCTCAGTAGTGGTAATTCAAACAGAATGTGGCTGTCATTAAGGCTTTGAGAAGGGTTTTTCTTTGATAAGATCTCCTTGTCCCGCATTGTTCGGGGTTGTGTTCCCCATTCAGAGGCTCTGGGAGCTCTCTCTGATCGCCCTTGTCTCCTCGCGGGGTGCTTTTGTTGTGCTCTGCGGCACTTCACCTGCACGGATTCGGCCCGAGCACCTGGGGGGGGTGGGGAGGGTGGGGGGATACGGGCTGCCCGCGGCTCCCCTCCGTGGGAAGGGGCTGGGAAGCACCGCTTTAATCAGAGCGCTCCGAGAGAGGGGGGTACGGGAGGGCCGCGCCGTCCGCTCGCGTCCCTCGGGCCTTTATTTTTGTGAGGTGTTTTCTGTACGATTTTGGAGCCTCACAGCTGCCTGCCGGGCCCAACGTGACGCGCTCAGCTCCCTTCTTCCCCTTCCGAAACGGAGCTCCCGTCCGATCCGCGTTGCCCAGAGTGAGGCTTCGCTTTTCCCCATTATTTCCCTTTTTTTTTTTTTTTTTCCTTTATCATTACTATTTTCTTCTTATTTTCCCCTCTTTCCTATTGCTTTTTCTTCTTCCAAAGTTGTAAGACTTTATTCTCGCTGCAAAGCGAACCGGGATGCCAACAGAAGTATAAACCAAAGTTGTCCCCAGCAAAACGAACGGGGGTGCAGAGGGGCAGGGGCTGCATTCCGGCACCATTCCGGCAGCTTTGGCAGCCCCGGGGCCGAGGGACGGTGCTCCTCTCCGGCTGCCGTTAGCGGTCCGAGGTCTGGAAGAGGCCCCGTCCCTTTTGCCCCACTCAGCCCTTTCTCTTTTGCTTTCCCGACGCGGCTTTGTCCTCCGCAGTCAAAACCAGGACGAAGGACAAATACCGCGTGGTGTACACGGACCACCAGCGGCTGGAGCTGGAGAAGGAGTTCCACTACAGCCGCTACATCACCATCCGGAGGAAAGCTGAGCTGGCCTCCAGCCTGGGGCTGTCGGAGAGGCAGGTCTGTGGTGCGGCTCGGGCTGCGCGTGGTTGGGATGCGCGGATCGAGTTGCGCAGGTTGGGATGCGAGGGACAGAAATACGCGGGACGGAGATGCGCGGATCGGGTTGCGCGGATTGAGATGCGCGGATCGGCTCGCACGCCCGCCGCGGAGCCCCGTGCGTTGAGACCGACTGCCCTTTTTTCACTCTCCCACACCCGGCAGGTGAAAATCTGGTTCCAGAACCGTCGGGCGAAGGAGAGGAAGATCAACAAGAAGAAGCTGCAGCAAGCGCAGCCCGGCGCCGCGGAGCCGCTCAGCCCCGCCGCCCCTCCGTTGCCGGGCCCCGCGGCCGCCCCTCCACCCGCCGGGCTGGGCCCCGCCGCCCCCCAATGACAGCGGCCCCGGCCGAGCGCAGGGACTGCACGGACCGCGGAGGGACGGCCGGGCCGGGCCGGGGCCGGAGGGGCTCCGTGGCCACAGCGGGAACGGCCCCAATGCACTGCAGCGCCGTGTGTACAGATGTACAGTGAGCGCGTCTCGTCCGGGGAACCGCGGCCGCGGCTTTGGTGTTATTAATATTATTATGGTTTTCTTTTGTTCTTATTTTTCTTTTTTTTTTTTTTTACCCTGGCGTTTGTTAGGTGTAAGGGGAGCGTGGCACTCCTCGGTGAATCTCAGGGATCTGTGTGAAGGTCTGAGTGATGCTGTTGGGCTGACGATGAATTTTATTGGGGAAAAAAAAAAAAAAATTAAAGCACATTTTTTTTTAATTTTATATTTTACTTTTTATTTTTGGTCGTAACTGCAAATATGCAAAACGTTCATGAAGAGTCGGAGCAGAGCAGGTGAGGTGGTGTTAAGTGTGTGGCAGTGAACAGCTCAATGTTGGACACGTGTAAGATCTGTACGCCCAGTGCTGAGGGCCACCGAACAGAGATGGGCAGAGTGAAGCCTCTGAAAATTGCATCCAGCCATGCTGGGGTGAGGATCCTGTGCTTGCAGAGAGATGCCAGGTGCCCACTTGGCACCACTCACGGTGTCCCAGCACTGATTGTAATCACTCCCCGTGCTGCCTGCCTTGCTTTGAGTTCGTGCCAGTGGTCAGTTTTCAAAGTCTCCTTGGATGTCCCAGCTCTCCTTTCACCCCCGGAGCAGAAAAGTTTGGGGGAGCTCTGCACCCATCCCCAGACACATTGGGTGCTGATATATGCAGGTTTCTTGCTGTGAGCAGCACTCAGGCTGTGCTCATTGCTCGTGGTCTTGGTATGCACCGTGCCCCAATGGTGGCATCTAAAGGATTCCAGTCTGCACCCCGGCGATGCCGGTCCACAGGGCTTTGCAGGCACCAAATGGAGGGGTTGTCCCTTGGAGGATGCCCTCTGGCGCCCGGGGCCGCCCTGCAACATCGATCCCAGCCAGGCTGCTGCCCGAGCTGCGGTGCGTTGCTGCGATACGCCTGTCAATAAAGGCTGTTTGGATTGTGGAGCGGAGCGCAAGGTTTGTTTGGTTAGTGGTTAGAGGTTCAAAAGTCGGCATTGTCCCACTGCAAACGAGCACAAGTTTTTTCTCCCGAAGGAAAAGCTGGCTGCGGCCAGAAGGAGGGAGTGATATCGGTGGGCCCTTTTATTTGCTTCCAGGAATAATTAATGGCAGTGAAAAAAAAAATAAAAGAAAAAAGAAAAAAGATGACCACGGAGTTATGAGGGCCGTCAGTGAGTACACTGATCACAGGGGATATATGGGTGACAGAGAGAATGTTTGGTAGGGCTTTGCTGGCGTGTCCTTATGCCTCTGGAGTTGGGGTGACAGAACCCATGGACACTGTACAGAGGTGGCACATTGTGATGGTGACATACACTGTTTCCAGTTCTGAAAGCATCAGGTTTTGCAGCCCTCAGGATTTTCAAGAAAGAGTATTGCTCCCCTTGAGGTGCCCAGCGTAATGTGCTTGTACAAAATTCCCATTCCTCCCAGTATTCATTAGAGACAGAAGGCAGCCAGGTGTGTTCCAGTCCATTCTAGTCCAGTTCCATAACCAATCTCTGCCCCCTTTTGCCAGTGGATGTTCATGTTCTGAACTCCTCCCCTTCAGCTCCTGATGGTGGCAATGCAGAACTCACATTTCGTGGTTTAAAAAGGAACCAACTGAGCAAATTGTACCCACACCCCATTCCAAACATCTACCCCCTCCCATCCCCAAGCAAATAATCCTCCAAACTTCCGCTTCCTTGATATTGCCCGTGTGCCATAAAGGAGTGCACAAAGGCACAAACTGGATATTGTGTTTATTTGGGGTGGTATTTCCACCCTGCCCACCCCTCTGTGTAAAAGCTGTGCAATCTGAAGGGTTGGCCTCAAAGTGCAGGAGTGTGGAAAGGGAACTCAGCCCCCTGCCGCCCTCTCTTGGCACAGTGCAATAAGAAAGCACCCGGAGCTCTTTTTTGGCTCAGCTTGTCCATAAATGGAACTTCCTTTAGCAAGTTCTTCGGGTTCTGGGTAAGAAGTGGCCATATATGTCACAGAACACCATGGAAGGAGCTGTAAGGCCCACATACAGAGGGCTCAGATGGTATCTAAAGGAAATACCTAACTCAGAGCATCCCCTGAGGGCACATTACTTGTCCTCAACATGATAGCCAAGCACCCAGAGCCTGCACCACAAAGCTTTATAGAAAGAAGAAAAAGTCTTAAAATCAGCAGTAAGCATAAAATCATAGACTATCCAGAGTTGGAAGGGACTCCATAAGGATGATTGTGTCCATCTCCTCAAGCAGCAACCTGCAGAAACCTGCACTGCTGCATGCATCGGTCACAGCCCAAATGCATGACAGAATGCTTCACCCGGATCCCAACAGGCTGCAGCCCATTTGTGGGGCTCTGTGCTGAAGGCTGAGGCAGTTGGAGCCGAAAGCAAAAGTGGAGCTGCTGCCAACAGAGCAGGGCTGGAGGATGGCCAGGAAGGCAGCAGAGTGCGAGGTGTGTGGAGGCAATGCAGGGCAAAAGAAGGGCACACAGTGCTGTACGGTGTGGGGGAGGGATGGGGGGTGAGCTGAGTGGGAGGTGTAGGCATGACCCATTCAGGATCCAGTTGACTGCCAGAAGCTCTGGGATGGAGAGGGCCAACCCCATGGAGCTGAGCTCCTCACTGGGCCAGGCAAATCCTCATTGTCCTCTGTTGTGTGAACACAGGGGAGTTCTTGTAATTCATGTCTCACCCTCTACTATGCCCTCCATTCCTGTTCAGGCTCTTTTGGAAGCAAGAGTGGGACAGACACTCCTGTGCAAAGGGGCAGAAAAGAGGAAAGTTTGAGCTGTTTGTGAAAATAAACAAATTGTTGCCAGGAGACTGGATCTGGAGGCCAGGAATCCCTGTTCAGCCCTGTATTTCTAAATTGAATTATCATCTTCCTGGGGTGCCCATGGGATCCCCCTGCAGACGCTTTCAAAGCATGACAAGTTTGGGGGAAGAGAGGATGACAACTCGTGGAAGATCTTCATTTCATGCTCACCTGTGGGCCAAGACACAAATGTGCAGCAGACATCAGGGCCCGGTCCAATTAGCCATTGGCAGGATAGCAGGTAACAACTTTCCTCTTCTTCCTGTCTTCAGGTTGGATATTAGGAAAAAATTCCTTTCAGAAAGAGTGGTGAGGCATTGGCACAGGCTGCCCAGGCAGGTGTGCAGTTACTGTACCTGGAGGTGTTCAAGAAGTGTGTGAATGTGACACAGAGGGACGTGGTCAGTGGGCACGGTGGGGGATGGGCTGGTGGTTGGACTAGGTGATCTTAGAAGTCTTTCTCAACTTTAATGATTATGGGATTCTATGACTGATTCTGTGTTTCCTCAGGTCAAAACATAATATCTAACCCATTGGCTCAGATCCAATTCCTCCAGCAAGTATATCATTCTTTCTTTAAGGTCTCATTTCCAGCCTGATGGTCCCTAATGCTTGGGTTGGATGGAGACCAGACAGTCATACGCCCGATGGGACATCAGGGCTCACATCTGTACCCCACTAACACAGGCAGGGAGGGAAGAAAAGCCCTTCCCACAGTGCTAATCCGAAAGAAGAGACCAACCCAAACAGAATGCATTGCAACAGCAAATACTGGTGCAGAGGGATAAGAGCTGAGCACACGGACCTGTCCTGCTTGAGGCATTCTTGCCTCCTTAGTCACCCAGGTATTTTCTGGCAGCTGTTGCAAGTAGTTCTCCCTTTGAGTCAGATCCTGCTCCCCTGGCACGTCTCCTTGACTTCCAAGCTCAGATAGCTTTCAGAGAGCCAAAGACATTTCTAGGAGAAAAGCTGCCTTATCTCCAGCATTATTCCCTTTGGGAGGGGATGCTCCTGACATGGGACCTCCCTTCCTCCTTCCGCAAACGCAGCAAGCTCTCAGCACTTCAGACTGATGTTCTTTGTGCTCCAAAGCTCAAACACTGTGAGCTGGGAGCATGGTCCTTGTGCCTGTACCTTGAGACAAGGCTCAGGGTTCACAAGGTCCCAGTCCTGCCTTCGTAGCATCTCACGTGGAAGATAAGCAGCACCCAGACACCAGAGTCCTCAGCATTCAAAGGCATTTGGGTTCCCAAATTGAGATGAAATCAAGCGGTGGTAGAATCTGATCTGAGGAAATGTGTAAAATTAGTGAATATGAGATAGAACTATTGGTAAAAATCACCTCCCACCAGCAATGCCAAAGAGCTTTTATCCTAGCTTAAAATTAAAAATTGCTGCTATATATGAAACATAAACCTCAATAATTGAAGAAAATTCAATCCACTCCTCTTCTTGGTATGGCAAATGTGGTTTCTGCAGCAAAAATGCTCATATTTTGATCTTCTCTGATTCTCACCATTGTGCCTATATGCACCTATACAAGAATAGGTAACCACAGGGAGCTGAAGTGAGGTCTCTAAAAACATCTTGCACAACCATTCCCAGGAATGCAGTGACTCAGAAGAAAAGGTGACTTTCTTTTATCAGAAGCGTATTCCTTCCTCCAGGACTTAAACACGATTCCCAGCAATGACACAACTACAAAACTGCAGCACCGCTTCGGAACCACTGCTTAGTTTTTGTCATTCTCTTGGAAGCTCTCATCGCAGCTCCAAAGGTGTTTTCCATCCTCATGAGCACAATCTCTGCTGGTGGCTCTGCCAGTAGAACATGCCCTGCATTGTCTCCTTGCCTGTGGACATGCTGCTGGCCTGGGGCAGGAGGAGGTACTGCTTCAACCACAGCCACCCCCAATCCTGTGCTGCCCGTAGTTCTGTGGCTCCACATGGTTGAGCCAGCAGTGCATGGTTGGATCACTGCAGCAGTCTTACATTCAGTTCAGTTCAGGAGCTCAGAGGCTCCTGGCACTGTCCCAGCAGTGTCCCTACACCATGG